TCGTGGCATGTATGATAATTATATTATCTTGCATTTTTCAATTTTATTATTAAATTTTTAATGCAAAAAATGTATGTTCTTGATAATTGAGTTGTAGCCATGTTTAGAGCTTGCATTTTTTATTATATTATCTTGCATATATGTAATTGAGATGTACGACTATTTGTGATCATTTCAATTGAGTTGGGATTGTGCCCGCTATATCATTGTAAATTTTATTTGTAGCATTGTGAATGACTATATCATTGTAAATGGTTTTTGTGTCAAATATACGTGTAGTGGCATTATGGTTGACTATATTACTGTAATTTTTTTCATGATTCTAAGTGTGACTTATACAGACTTTTTTTTATCTATAATGTTGCATAAATATTTTTTTTTCTCAGTAGGAACTAATTCATGTTTGTCGAAATGAAGATTTGTGACAAGTCCATATGTATTGGCATTGTGAATTACTATACCATTGTAAATATATTTTCTATTGATACTATATCAATGTAAATTTTTTGTTCTATACCATTGATCTTCCTTGAGGTTTTGTTCTATACCATTGATCTTCTTTGACGCTATCGGTGAGGAAGATCTTGAAGAAGGTGATGAGCAGCCTGAAAGAGGAAGCAGCCCACCAACATATCCACAATTCCTCAGAGATGTTGGTGATATTGCACCTAATGAGGGAGAGTGGAAAGGGGGTCTAAGGGAAAATAAGAGAGATGATGATTCTGAGGCCACCCGATCCCAGCTATATTATTCACATATCAAGTCCCAACAACAAGAGGGTAGGGATGAGCACGATAGTGTAGGTGAGCATGAATGATGGACAATCTTTGGGGATTTTGGATTAGGAACACAACAAAACACTAACACTCAGGGATTTGGGTATAGTCAGGTGCCCACTAATTTGGATGATTCGTTTTTAGAACGAGTCAATGAATTGTCATGCGAATTCAATCAATGGCACCAGCGTGACCAAGATGAAGAACGACGTCGTCTGTCATTTTATTTTTAGATCGTATGTTACGAATTGTATGTTTTATTGTAGTCCATGTATGATGATATACTTAATCCATGATAATTGTATGTTTATCTTTTTGTGTTATGTAAATTAAATGGTAAATAGTAGTTTATGCAGGGAAAGAACATATCAATATTCTCATATTCATGCAAAGAAATGAAAATTCTTAATGGAGTACCCTCATTTGTTATTGAATTCTTAAAAAATAACATTTATAATGAATTTGAATAATTTTTTCGGATTTTTTTTAAGGTTTGAACCGACCGATTCAGCCGATTCCCGATCCGGATCGCCGATTCGTTGATTCGGGTCACTGATCTGCTTTTTAAACCACTGGTTTATCTTAAAATGGAATTCAGCGACGCATGCTTGAGTCTGACTAAGCTTTGTTTATTGGTATTGGAGTTGACCTTATTATGTGAATCTGTAGGGAGAGTTGAAGATGCAAGCAAGGTCCAAACCCTTCTTTTCAGTGCCACAATGCCTGACTGGGTGAAGAAGGTATAAATTTAGTTTTTAGTGCTATTTAAGCTTGTACTATGCTGCTGTTGATCATTATGATATGCTTGTGTCCTAATTTTTGAAGTTTGAAGCCTTACCTGCTGAGTTTCATTTCTATTAAGTTCCCATTGCTTTCTCCATTGTTTTGTGTTCTTGTTATGCATTTGCAGATTGCTGCCAGGTTTTTTAAACCCGACAGGAAAGTGGCAGATCTTGTTGGTGACGATAAAATGAAGGCTAGTGCAAGTGTTAGACATATTGTCCTTCCATGCTTCTTTTCAGCTAGGGCCCAGCTCATTCCGGATATAATCCGTTGTTATAGCAGGTTTGTTTGAATGTTCCTGTTGTCTAATCTTTTCATATTTGCATGTATCTTTGTTGTATGGGAAAAGGTATCATGCCAACCTGGTGTATTGTATATGGTACTTGGTGACATCCATTTTCTATACCCTGTGATGGAGGATGAAGATTGTAGGGCTCACTACTACTTAACAGTCTCCAAGGTACAATTAATCTCCCCCATTCATCATTGTGAATGGATGGTGGATGCCTTGGCTGCTTATCAATATAGCATACTTAGGCTGTGTATGGTATGGGCCTTCCTTTGTTATATTGCTTATCGGTTATTTGATTTTGCTTATTTTTGTGCGGTAGTAATGCTTATGAGTGATATATTTGAGCATGTCCAGTGGGGGACGCACAATTGTTTTCACTGAGACAAAGAATTCAGCATCTGAACTTGCTGGAGCCCTACCAGGAGCACGAGCTTTGCATGGGGACATACAACAATCACAACGCGAAGTAAGCTGCCATTATTCAACTATATATCTGGATTTGCATTATATTAAAAGTAAGAACTAACGGTATTTGAGTTGTGTGAATACCGAGGATCGAATCTGAACTTGTAAAACCTCAAAAATAATTGGAAAGTGCTATCTTAATTTGAAAAACAATTAGTGGCATGGAATGGCGAAGCATGCCATATTTGAATAGAGTTTGGTTACCCATAATCCATTGGGTCTTTGCCTCTCACAGTGGATAATAACACACAAAGGTGGTCATAAGGGAAGGGATAGGGGTGGGGGCCATATGTTGTTTTGTGAATGTGTGTATGTGTTTGGTGTGTGTGCGTGTGTGTTGTATGTGTTTAGTGTTTGTATGCATGCGCATGTATGTGTGTGTGTGAGGTCTCGCATGAAATTCTTAAAGATCATCCTCTTTTTTTTTCTTTTGGGTCTGTATCTGTGTCTGTGAGACACTTGGTCAATATGGGGGGGAGAGAGAGAGAGAGAGAGAGAGAGAGAGAGAGAGAGAGAGAGAGAGAGAGAGACGACGACGACGACGTACGACGTACGTACGGTACGTACGTTACGTTCTTTCTTTTCCTTTTCTTTACTTTACGTTACGTAGTAGACGTACGAC